ATTTTTTTTAATATACATTTCACTTACAGAGGATGCGTGTCTCCGTGCTGACAAGCCTGGTGGTGGCGGTGTTCCTGGTGGCACTCTTCGCCCCAGAGTGCCAGGCGCAAGGATGGCAGGCTGTGGCAGCGGCCGTCGCCAGCAAGATCGTTGGGTATGGCACCATGCCTCTTGCCTTTTCTTAACTGTTCTTACCTTGTCTCATACCTCGTCATTTTGCTATCTTTGAACTTGTCTATTTAGATATTTTGGCACTTTTCTTTTTCTTTTTATCGCTAACCACTCTTATTGTATGTATCTTTCTTATTCTTTTTCTTTATTATAAGACTGCACAAGTCTCCCAGCGGCTATCTTATCAATCTTCTAAATATTCACGTATAAATACATATAATGCTTATGACATTTTTTTTTGCCTTTAACTCTTCAAGTGCATATATTCACAATTCCTGTTCCATCTTATTATCAATTCATGCATTCATTTTCCTTCTTAATCCACTGTTACTGTTTTCAATTATCAATTCACACATTTTTGTTCTTTCTATCAATCCACCTTATTCCTGTTCTATCTTATTATCAATTCATACTTTCACTCACCTTTTTAACCATCTGTTACTGTTTTCAAATTATCAATTCACACATTTACCTTTACTGTTCTTTCTATCAATCCACCTTATTCCTGTTCTATCTTATTACCAATTCACACCTTTCTAACTCCTTTTTTCAATTACCAATTCACACATTCAGCGTTACTATTCTTTCTCCCAATCCACCTTATCCCTCTTCTATCTTATTATCAACTTCACTATTCTTTCTAACTCACTGCTTTCAAATTACCAATTCACACATTCACCGTCACTATTCTTTCTCTCAATCCACATTACCGCCGTCACTATTCTTCTTCTTAACGATCCCTCCTCTTCAGTCACTAATTTCTTCGTCCATTTCCCACCGACAAGGCTGTGGAGGAACGAGGAGACGGAGCTGCTGGGGCATAAGTGCCGCTTCACCGTCAAACCTTACATCAAGAGGTTACAGCTGAACTACAAGGGGAAGATGTGGTGCCCCGGCTGGACGACTATCAGAGGGGAAGGTGGGAGGGCTTTGGCTGTTGTTCTCGTTGGTGTTGGTATTCTATTATCATCGTTGTTTGTAGTTATATTGGTAGTGTTATCATTTTTCTTTTTTCTTATATTGGTACTGTTATTATTTTCTTTTATTGGTACTGTCATCATTTTTTTTATTGGTACTGTTATAATTTTACTTTTTCTTTTATTGGTATATTATATATCTTTTTTATATTGGTACTGTCATCATTTTCTTTTTTTTATTACTATCCTTTTTATATTGGTATGTTATTATTGTTTTTTAATCATATTGGTAATATCATTATTCCTTTTTATATTGGTACTATTATCTTATTGTTTTAATTTATATTGGTACTGTTATCATTTTTCTTTTTTATATTGGTACTATTATCATTATTTTTTTTATATTGGTACTGTTATCATTTTTCTTTTTTTATATTGGTACTATTATCATATGTCTTTTTTATATTGGTACTGTTACCATTATTGTTTTTAATCATATTAGTAATATCATTATTCTTTTTTTTTATATTGGTACTGTTATCATTATTGTTTTTTGATCGTCTTGGTGCTGTTATCATTATTGCTTTTATTTATATTGGTACTATTGTCTTTCTTGTTCGTATTGGTATTATCGTTCTCATTATTGTTGTTATAGTTTGTGTTTCAAATTCATTCGTATATATGAATACGTTTGATGGTATATATTTAAATCATCTTCGTACATAGCAGTCTTATGCACGTAAGTATAATTCTGATTAACCTTGCTATCGTTACCTATTCCATTGCTGTAGTTAAGTGACTACTACAGTTAGGTTTTCCGTTCCTAAGTGATTCCCACCGTTATTATTCCCGTTCCTGACTAAGTGATTCCCAGTTATTACTCCCGTTCCTGACTAAATTACTCCTAGTTTTATTCCCGTTCCTAAGTGATTCCCACCGTTATTACTCCCGTTCCTGACCAGTATGAAAAGCTAAGCGCCGTTCACAGTGCCTCCAACTTGTCTTCCCCGTTCCCCTCTCAGCCAGGACACGCAGCCATTCCGGGGTGGCTGGAAGGACGGCCAGGGACTTCGTCGAGAAAGCCTTCAGGGACGGCCTCATCTCCGAACAAGATGCTAAGCGGTGGCTGAACTAACGGGCCCTCTCCTGCGTGAGGAGCTGTCGGGGTTCGAGCCTTCGTTGGCAGTGGAAGCTCTGCCATCTTGAGCTGTTGTATCTCTCTCTTCCACGTAGAGTTGACGTCTTGAGCTATTCTTGTTGTCCGATTTTTTGTTTTACTTAACAACTACACGAAAGTATATAACAAAAGCTGGTAATTGACGGTCTTAGAAGGATCCTCAGACTCTTTTGTTATTGATATTAAGGCAAGGTAGATTCTTTGAAATGTGACTTTAATAAACTTGATCCTTTTT